GTTTATTTTGAGAGAGAGAGAACGAGCGAGCACAAGCAGGGGAGGGGCGGAGAGAGAGAGAGAGAGAGAGAGAGAGAGAATCCCAAGCAGCCCCTGAGCCGGCAGCACAGAGCCTGACTCGGGGCTGAATCTCACCAACCGTGAGACCACGACCTGAGCCGAAACCAAGAGTCGGATGCTTAACCGGCTGAGCCACCCAGGCGCCCCTCAATGAAGCTGTTTATAAGACAATTGCATATTTATATGATGGAACAGTCTTCAAAAATTAAAATTAATGAAGTAGGGGGATATGTATTCATATGGACAAATCACAAAAATATAAACAAGATTTACAGTACTTTTGTACGGAATGAGAATTGTTATATAACATTGGATAAACTGCAAAAAAAAAAAAAAAAAAAACAATCCCATACAGTGTTTGGGCACGTTGTACATGCTTGGGAGTCACCCACCCTGACTTCAAAAAAGGTGTTTTCCTCTCAAGAAGGACTTGAGTGAAATTAGGGAGGGACATACAGGGCTTCAATGCTATCGATAATATTTTACTTCCTTTTGAAAAATCTTACGCTAATATGATGAAAATATCGAGATTTGGTAAAGCTGGTACTGTGGATAGGAAATTTGCCCCTATTCCTTGAAAAATTGTGCGTGTGGAATTTCTCCCGTTTTTAAAAAAGTGCCCAGGGACATTTTCTCAGAAGCTGTGTTAGAAAGCACACAGTACTTGGGAAAGATGAGGCCCAGTTTGGCTTTCTCTTGAGTGACTGCTTTGGCATATCGCCAAGGAATAGTTGATCCCCAAACTCGGAATTCACAGTGACTGGGTCCCTGGCCAGGGTGTGTTGGTGTAAGGGATACATTTTGAGGAAAAGAGGAACATGGGTACCTACACCCTTTAAATCTGAGGTGCTGGGCAGGGAGGGCAAGCATGCCTGAGGACCCTGAACGCAGAGAAGGGACTGGGGGGGGGCCCTCTGAGCGGCACTTGGAAGTGGGGAGCTGGAGGAAGCGCCAGCAGGATTTGGGGGATCGTGGTGGTGAATTTCATCCACCTCGCGCCTTTGCCACCATGTGTCTCTGGTGCCGACACAGACCATTGCTCTCAGACCATTGTGCGTTCTTTGAAATACATAGCTTGGCAGCCTTTGTACTTGGACAGACTGGAGAGTCTCAAGCCATGAGACTCCCTGGGAAAGAATTGTCTTATCTCTTCAGTAGTGGGAGATAAATTTCATGTCAACACACGAAAAGCTGGCACCAGCCTCCAGATGAAGCAAATCATGTGCGTTATGTTCAGGCACGGGTCGATGGTAAAAAGCTGTAGCCGCAGAGAAAAAGGGTCCCTCGTCCTCACTGCTTTTGTGTACTCTAAATCTCCAAAATTTCAGATAATTAATCGGACTACACGTTCGGGCTTTTCTTCAGCCTGATTGAAATGCCAAGGACCGGCTTCCTTGGCCACTCAGGTATTTGTGATGACTGAGGATCAGTTGCTGGGACATAACAATGTTGGGGTGGAATCCTGCAATATACATAAAAGCACATGTATCAAAAGCATTTAAAATGCATTTCAAGAAAAACAAAGGGCTACTTTTCAAAGCATGCGTAAGGTATAATAAACAGCCAGTAAATCGCCATACCGAAGCCGGTGTCCCCAGTCAAAGGAGATCCACCAGGTGGGATATTTCCATGATGAGTATGGAACGAATTCCTGAAATTACAGGGTGCAATCAACACTTCCCAAAGGAAAAAAGAGCAGGGCCGACTCGGAAAAATTTCCCCTGTGGCAGTAACACATAATATAAAGGATCTTCTTATGTGTCAGGATCTAGTGTTTCTTTCCAAAAATCAAATTTTATTCATCTTGTCAGATTTTTAAAATAATACATGAAGTGTTTTCTAATGAAGAAATTAGTATTTTGCCAAACGCTCCGTGTCTGATCCCGAAGGGCTGTATACCAAGTAGGGTAGTGTTTCCCAGAGTGTGGGTCCGATCAAGGCCATCTGATCAGAATCGTTTCAGTTAGCAAACTTTTTTTGTAAAGGGCCAAATAATAACTATTTTGGATTCTGCCAGACAGTTTCTCTTGCAGAAGCTCACCTCTGCCCAGTGTTGTAGTGTGAAGGCAGCCACAGGCGAGTCCTAAATGAATGAATGTGGTAGTGTGCCAATAAAACTTTATTTACACAGACAGGTGTGTGCGGAGTATGGCTCACAGACCATAGCTTATGAACACCTAACTTAGAGCGGTATTTTTACCTCTTCTTTTTTTAACTGGAACTCACAGTCAGAAATACATAGGACCTCAAATCCGGCTTGTGTGCACGTGCACATGCGCGCGCGCGCACACACGCACACACACACACACACACACACACACAGTTTTGCAAAACCTAATTTGCCCTTTGTACCAGAAATACACTGTACTTTCTTTCCTCCTCCCCTCTTCTATTTAATGTTTTATTTTTTTTAATTTGTTTATTCTGAGAGAAAGGGAGAGGGAGCGAGCGCACAAGCAGGGGAGGGGCAGAGAGAAGGAGAGACAGAATCCCAAGACAGCTCTGTGCCACCGGCACAGAGCCGATACGGGGCTCGAACTCACGAACCGTGAGATCATGACCTGGGTCAAGATGAGGAGTCGGGCACAACCGACGGCGCCACCCAGGCGCTCGTCTTCTACTTCGTGTTTTCAGGGCTAGTTTTCATCATACCTGTACCTCATTGCCTGTTGAGATGCAGAATCCCGCTGCTCTGCCCGTGACAGCTTTTTACCTAGGATATTGAGACGTGAGCCCAAACGTCTGTAGTCCTCTTTGTAAAAGATCCCCAGCAGCTTCTTATGCACACCATTTTGAAAAGCTCTGATCCGGTGTATCAGATGGAATTGTACACTTGAGTTAAAATTACAATTATTCCAACAATTGTTTTCTGTGAAGCATTCCTATGTGTTCAAAGGAGGCTCTCATTTTGGCCTGTTTCAACTTACGCATGACTGAGGAGGTTTTTTTCCCTTCTCCTCTTTTTAAAAAAAATTTTTTAGTGTTTATTTATTTTTAAGAGAGAGAGAGACAGAGTGCAAGCAGGGGAGGGGCAGAGAGAGAGAGAGGGAGACACAGAATCCGAAGCAGGCTCCAGGCTCCGAGCCGTCGGCACAGAGCCCGACACGGGGCTCGAACCCACGAGCCGTGAGATCGCGACCTGAGCCGAAGTCGGGCGCTCAACCGACTGAGCCACCCAGGCGCCCCTCCCTTCTCCTCTTAATGTCACTTTTAATTTCCCATATCATGATAGAAGGAAAGAAAGAAGAGAATAGAGTTCAAGCATTGTTAGATGTGTAGTCATGGGATCACTGACCGGCGTACTGAAAGGGTAAGTGATTGACACGAAGTTATTCCAAGGGAATATTGCGACCTTATGTGTCTTTTGTTAGAATCGTATTAAACATCTTTCATTCTGTTGCGTGATTCCAAATATTCCATTCACTTGGTTTGTTCGAGGGACTCTTCAGTTATTTTGCCTCCTCTGGGTGTGTTCACGTTAGAAGCTAAATTCGGTTTGGTGCCAACTAAGCGGCACTTCGTTCAACTCACGACCACGGTTAATCCGCTGCGGAGGGTCACTAGAATTCTAATGAGTGAAGCCTTTTGCCAGGCTTCGCATCATATACCGTCTGCTCCAAGGTTTTGACACTTCATTCTCTAAGTCTCCTTTCAGGAATTTTTCGCACTCTTGCCTGAAATTTTGTAGCCGCGGTCTCTCAGCGCAGCACATTCATTTCCTTTGTTTGCTGCAGTACGACATAGCTGGAATCAGATGTTCCTTAGAGGCCTCGAGTTCTGACATCTCCTTCCTTCCTTTTCTCCGATTAAAGTTGCACGGGAATGGTAATGATGACTTGGAGAAAGAAGGAATTTCTTGGAGTTAGCAGGAATTCTGGAGGGAGCTGGAGCCAGCCCTGTCTGTAAGACAGATTAACTGGCCTCCTCCCTAGCCTTTCACCCAGGGCTGGTTTCCATTCCGGAACAATCATAAAGCCGGCCAAGACCTGTCCCGAGCTGTGTGGAGAGGGCACCGGGCGCTCGGCAATTCTAATTAGCAATCTAATTTTAACTTGGCTTCTGGCCCGAGGGCTTCATCTTGTAGCACATTGCAAACACCAGAGCGCATGGTCAAGTGGGTTACCGTGCACTTACCTTGGCCTACCCCAGAGGTTACGGTCAATTACGTTTGAGGGTCGTTTTCAAGCAAGACAGGATCAGGAATCGGAATGGAGGTTGGAACCAAACATGCATTTTTATCCCGACTGGGAAACGCTTATCAAAATAGTTCTTAGTTATCAAGTAAGCACAAAGTGCCTGGAAATGACGTTCCCAGTGAGGGGAAACGGCCCAGCTGTGCTTTTTTTGGCCTTCTCTCATCTGCTCAACAGGAAAAATATTAATCAATGGAAAAAACGCTCTCTTTCTGTGAATTTAACACATGAGTTTTAGATCGCGTGGGAAATAGTAATACCTCATGTTTTCACATCACAATTTTATTACACGGATTGCAAAGAACTTTTTAGAAAATGGTTCTTAGTGAAGCCACACGTTTGCACCTATGGAGATGTTTTATTTGCTTGATGGCCCAGCTGCAAACCTGAGATAAGAGAAAGTTCCAGCATTCCCTGTGATCTTTCAGTAATTGAGTGGAATAGTGGGGGAAGAGGTCTGGTGACCCTTGTAACTTACCATGGGGCAACACCTTGTTTCCCCATCAACAAGGAAGTAATTCGCCATTCAGTATTTTCCCATAAAACAAATTAGCAACGCTTCTCCAAGGAGACAAAGGCTGTCTAAGCCAGGAGTCCCGTATCGGAGATTTCCATATGTCTCTGCCTGCTTGTCGGACTTTTATTGAAGGACAACTTACGTGCAACAGAACGCACGCATCAGAAGGGTCCAGCCCGCTGCGTTTTCCCTAAGCGAGCCCACCCGTGTAACCATCTCCTCTTTTCAAGGTGATGAGGCTCCGCAAACTGGCTCAGCAGATTGCAAACTGCAAGCAGTGCATTGAGCGGTCGGCATCACTTATCTCCCAAGCGGAACACTCTCTGAAGGAGAACGATCATGCGCGCTTCCTACAGACGGCGAAGAACATCACTGAGAGGTGAGTGCGGGGGCTGCTGGGAAGTTCTCAGCCGCTGGGCTCCTGTGTCTGGGGAGCGACTGGTTGGCCTTGCCCTCCCCTTGCTTTTGTTTTCATTTTCAAGGCTGAGTACCAGGGAGAATAGAGGCTTTGAGCAGCTTTGTTCCAGCTAAAGATGCTTCCCTTTGACACGTCAAAGCCTTTTCAGCAGCGCCCTGGAGTTCAAGGCCTTTGAAACAAGAGTCCACCAGCTAGAAAGAATAAAATCAGCCTTGCTTTTTGGGGGGAGAAAGCTTACGGTGGCACAAAACCAGCATTTATTGTGACTCTCAGACCTGATCTTATCGTATGCTTGATAACAAAGAATCAGAATGAAGGCAAAGACATAAAAGGGAATCTTTTCTTCCACCTCAGGGCTCATCTATTTGGGAAAAAAAAAAAAAAAAAAAAAAAAGAGCAAACTCCCAGCTGTTGTTTTCCATAGACCTGTTTTTATTTGGTCGAGAAGCTTCGCCTCTTCTGAAAGGTCAAAGCTGACTCATGTGAGAGAGAGCGGACCCACCTGTCCGTCTCCTACCTCTTGCTTTGAAATGTGTGGCTTATTCTAGGGCAGGGAACATGGAGATAACATTATTTGAATGGACGGTTCAGCAGTAGAACTGGTGGGAGTCTGTACTCCCTTGGTCCGGGTACTTGATCGGTACAGAATCACTTGTTCTCCCTGATGCAAAAACCTACAGCAGCTCTCATGGAGCCACAAAAAGCACCTGACTCCACCTAAATGATATCTCCAAGCCTTACCAATGCCCTTGACCTTCTCATTCATTCTGCTTCTCAGAGTCACTTGCCCCTTATCCAGAGCAATAATAGAATCCAATCACCGGACAGCCCCAGGCAGCTCATTCATGCTGGTCTTTATCCTAGAGCAGGAGTCTGCCAGCTCCTATAAAGGACCAGAGAGTAAATATTTTCAGCTTTGCAACTTATGAGGTCTCCTTGGAAGCTACTCAACCCGGCCGTGATAGCTCTCTATCAGCCTCGCTTAGACAGTACAGAAACACTGTCTAAAGGGTGTTTCTAAAAACATTTCGCAAAACAGGTATTTGGCCCTCTGGCTGTAAGTTGCCAACCCCTGGCCCAGGGGGGGGAAATACCATCCTATGACTTGAATTTCTTCAAGGAAAGAGAAAGAAAGCCAACATTAGTTGAGTGCTTGCTTGTGGCGGCCACCGTGCTAATTCTCAAAATGTCGCGTACGGGTAGGCATTGATATTTCCATTTCCGCTGTTCTTTCAATTAGAGTAACGTACAGTAGTAGCTTTACAACTCTGGTCTCGTATTGAACCTGCCTCGCCGTGTTGTTATAGTTGAGAAAAATTTCCTCCGCGATTGGTTCTGATACCTGATCTCTTCCAAAGCACGTGGATAACAGCTGGTTATATCCTTAAAATGATCACCTCCCTACTCTTAAGAGAAGCCAGTTTCTTTCCTCGTGTCTCCTAGGTTCCACGCGTTTAATTGTCTTCCCAGCTCTCATCTGGACTGCATCCAATTGTTTTATATGCATCCTAAAGTTAGAGAGTGCAAATACCACTAATAACTCTGGTGTGCCTCGGGCAGTCTACTAGACAGTGTTTGCACTTATGTCATGATTGCCAACTGGGACCCAAGGACTTTTCTCCAGCCTTAAATCGCGAGATGGCCAGATGAAATGGCTACCGTGAAGTGCATTTCTCAGCAATCCCTAAAAATTTGATCACGTGCAATATGAAGAAATTCTCAAGGGCAGAGAATGTGGCCCCGTACCAGTTAAGACAGACCATTCTGGGGGTACCTGGGTGGCTCAGCCGGTTGAGCGTCCAGCTTCGACTCGGGTCATGGTCTCGTGGTTCATGAGTTCGAGCCCCACATCGGGCTCACTGCTGTCAGCTTGTTTGCGTGGAGCCCACTTCAGATCCTCTGTCTTCCTCTCTCTGCCTCTCCCCTGCTTGCGCTCTTCCAAAAATAAATATTAAAAAAAAAAAAAAGAACATTCTGGAAGAAGACCTACCTACCTTTGAAGTGTATCATAAGCACATGAATGTCCACACGTGATCTCCCTCAGATCCAGCAGGGTGTAACTGGTCCCATTCACCTCCACCCGTAACAAGCCCATCTCGTCAAGAACAGAAACATGACTTTGAGTTTTCTTTCTACAAGTGAATTGTATAATGCTGTTGACCCGCAAACAGCATGGGTTTGAATTGCACAGGTGCACTTATACAAAGATTTTTAAAAATAAATACAGTACAGTGCTGTAAATGTACTTTCTCTCATGATTTTCTTAATAATATTTTCTATAATAATATTTCTTAATATTTCTAATAATAGTTTCTTCTCTCTAGCTTACTGTATTGTAAGAATGCAGAATATAATGCATATGACATACAAAAAAATGTGTTAATCGACTATTTATGTTACCGGTAAGGCTTCTGGTCAACAGTAGGCTATTAGTAGTTATGTTTGGGGGGGGGGGGATGAAAAGTTATACATGGATTTTCAACTGGGTGGGGGTCAGCACCCCTAACCACCCCCCCATTGTTCAAAGGTCAACTGTATACTATATTCTCAAGCATCACTAATACATAGTTCTCGCTGTGATTGTATGTGCGCTTTTATAAAATTATTATTTTTTTTAAGTTTATTTATTTTGAGAGGGTGGGGGGGAATGCAACAGGGTGAGCCGGGGAGGGGCAGAAAGAGAGAGGGAGAGACAGAATGCCAAACAGGCTCTGTCTGTCAGCACAGAGCTTGATGCGGGGCTCAATCTCACGAACGGTGAGATCCTGACCTAAGCCGAAATGAAGACTTTGATTCTTTTTTTTTTTTTTTAAATTTTTTTTTCCACGTTTTTATTTATTTATGGGACAGACAGAGACAGAGCATGAACGGGCGAGGGGCAGAGAGAGAGGGAGACACAGAACCGGAAACAGGCTCCAGGCTCCGAGCCATCAGCCCAGAGCCTGACGCGGGGCTCGAACTCCCGGACCGCGAGATCGTGACCTGGCTGAAGTCGGACGCTTAACCGACTGCGCCACCCAGGCGCCCCGAAGACTTTGATTCTTAACCGACTGAGCCACCCAAGCACTCCTAAAATTATTGTAAATAAGCAAAATTATGCACTAAGTCCGGACATAAGAAAGTCGGCCGCCTGTTTATGAGAAGGCTAAACTTCCATCAAAGTTTAAAGACATAGTACCTCTAAAAATTTGCCAACATCCTTCATCCCCCCCCCCCCGTTTCTGCAGCCCCTCTCTTCTGTCTTCATTTGTCAATCTTCTTGGTCACTTCCCGAGCCTTTCTCTTTCTAGGACTGGAACGAAGGGAAAGGGCCGGGGGCTTGGACTGGGACCTGGGAAACTTGGGCAGATCCCAGCACCGCCACTTTTTAACTGTGATCCTTTGGGGTTTATCCGTGAGGTATTTTCTGCTAAGAGGAGTGGGCTCGTAATAGCTGCCTCTATCGGTAGTTTTGATAATACTGCTGATATCCTGTCCTAAGAATAGGCCTTTAACGTCACTGATACTCCATACTGTATGTTGGATTTAAGTTTTCAGAGTTCATTGTGTCGGTACAGCCCTGCCTTGTGTGTCTCTTCTGGGGCTGGTCTCTGCCTGTCTCTACTCTTCAATCCTTTACTTAGTAAGCATTCCACTCTGGGACGTGACTTCGTGATTCTCTGCCTCCTATTGTGTCTGCCTTGGGCGTTGGCACCTGTATACTTCCAAACCATCTTTATTCTTCTAGTCAAGGGTGGAAAGCCCAGAACAAACTTGGAATCCTGCAAGCCTTCCTAAAGTGAGACTTGGGGGAGGTTTTTCAACATCTTTAAACCACTTGAAGTGGATATGTTCACCTACAGGCTGAATCAAACTGCAGAAAGCTTTTTGATTTAGAAACAGTAAGAAAAAAAAAGGAGAGAGACCCTCAAGCTTTACCTTGTAGGAGATGCATGTGCTTTGGAATCAAGTATCCGGCTCTGAGTTCATTGCCTGGCAGTAATTACGGACGGCATTGGGGCTGCTCCTTTAACACTTGTGAGTCTAATCTTGCTCGCACGCTCCTAGCAGGCGGAACCCCCAGCCATCTTGTTTCCACCATTATAGCCCTGCCCGACGTGAATGAATGAGTGAACAAATTATGAAACAGGTCGAGGAGTCCTACCTAATGCGGTTGTCACAGGGACAAAATGAGATAATGTAGTAAAACTATTATTCCAGTTCCCGTCCCAAGGTGAACATGCAACAAATGCTCATTCGCGTCCTTCCTACTCACTGAGTTGACGCAGATTGTATAACATACCGCATTCTCAAGCCACGCTAACGTATAGGTCTTTTGTATGATTGTATGGGCATCTTTACAAAATCACGTTAAGCAAAACTTTTCACTGAATTGAAGCATAAGAAAGTTGGTCTACTGGTTATGAGAAATCTGAAGTTTTAGCAGCGAATTCTCAAGAGGAGGGTTAAAGGAAACTTCCCTCTCAACAGTACCCATTTTTCAGACCTTCTAGGAGGGTGTCCGACTCCACAGAGTGACCCCTCTGCCCTTGAACACCTAAGCAGTTCAAGGATCCATCAGACTTACCCCGAATATAAAGCCCAGAGCTCCAGTTGTCAGCTCTGGCAAGATATCACTTGATTTTAAGAATTTAAGCACATGTGATGAGTGGTTTTTGAAGAGTGTTCTGGTAGGGTGTTAATTGGTATTAAAACAACAAAATTCCAGGGGCGCCTGGGTGGCGCAGTCGGTTAAGCGTCCGACTTCAGCCAGGTCACGATCTCGCGGTCCGTGAGTTCGAGCCCCGCGTCGGGCTCTGGGCTGATGGCTCAGAGCCTGGAGCCTGTTTCCGACTCTGTGTCTCCCTCTCTCTCTGCCCCTCCCCCGTTCATGCTCTGTCTCTCTCTGTCGCAAAAATAAATAAACGTTGAAAAAAATAAAATAAAATAAAACAACAAAATTCCAGAGCCAAATGCATCCGGGAAATCTTGAGCAGACCCAAGTAAACCACATTTTGTTGCCATGAGACCTCGCTGGGTTTTACTGTGGTGATGTGCCCTCTCGCCCAAGAGAGACGACCCATTTAAGTGCCATTGTCGGGGGCCTGGCATGGGGGCGATGTTCAGCAGGAAGGGTAGAGCATCTTGCCCTGACATTGACTGTTTGACAGAAACCCTGTAAGCAGTGTAATTCTAGACACATCCACCTTCTGGAAAACTGGCCCCACGTGGCTCCTAGCAAACAGAGCGTTATAGAGATTAGAGCCATCAAAGTACAACCAGAAACAGAAGTAACGTGCAGTCCACCCCCTTAAGCGTCATAGGGCACAAAGGCCTTATTTGCCTCAATATGACCAAGGCTTCACATACACCTACAGGCCTGTGCACACATGTGTGTATACACACACACACACACACACACACACACACACACACAACTGTGAAGGCACAGAATTGCAAAAGTGGCCTAACACTGATGGCCCTGGTGGATTTTGGCATCTCATCTGAAAGGCCAGAAGATAGGTAACAAGGATTTGGGGAATAAAAACCTGACCTAAAATGTTGAATCTGGCAGCTCTCCCCTCGCCCGTCACTCCAATTAAGAATTTGAAATTGTAGGGGGCGCCTGGGAGGCGCAGTCGGTTAAGCGTCCGACTTCGGCCAGGTCACGATCTCGCGGGCCGGGAGTTCGAGCCCCGCGTCGGGCTCTGGGCTGATGGCTCGGAGCCTGGAGCCTGTTTCCGATTCTGTGTCTCCCTCTCTCTCTGCCCCTCCCCCGTTCATGCTCTGTCTCTCTCTGTCCCAAAAATAAAAAAAAAAAAAAAAACGTTGAATAAAAAAAAGAAAAAAAAAAAGAATTTGAAATTGTAGCCAATGATAAATATCTTTCCTTCCATCACAAAACTGTGTAGGTGTTAAAGGCTGCAGTAACTCCACAGACTCTTGCCGTCAGTCTTTGCCTCTCAGGCTTAGGGACTTTCAGCCTTTCCGTTCCCACCCCGCAAAGTTCCCGCCATCAAGATGGCAGGCATTTTTAACCCTGTCACGTGACCGAAGCACATTTCTAGTTACCTGTGGACCATAGGACCAGGAGAAACTTGGGAGAACTCTATTCTGGATGAGCCTGAACAGAAGCTTCTGCCCCTGGACTGGGCAAGTGCTAAGGCGAGAGTCAGAGGCCTTAAGATCCTCTCAGCCCAAGACCTTCTAATTGGGGTTTCGCTTTGAAATTTTTATTTGAGGAGTTCAAATGCCGTTAGAGCATTTCTTTTAACTTTTCTGCACCGATGCAAATATGTCGGGCCCTTCAGCCCCTGGCATACTTTAAGGGCTTAGTAAATATTTGCTAAATAATCCTGGGATCTCTCGGAGTTTTGAGGAGTTTTTCTGATTATGGGTCATAAGGAAAGCATTTTTAAGTACAGTTTGACCATCTGTAAAAAATGCCTAGCAACCATCCCTTTATCCATCAGTCTAAATTAGCAGGTGTGTTAGTCACAATAATTTGCCCATCTCCCTCGGGCGCAATCTTTAGCCAACAAGATCCCGTAACTCTGCTATTTACTGTTTCTTGGTGAAAAGGTGAGGTGGTGAATTTAGACTCTCCACCCTCATTGAAACACTTGAAACTTTTCTTTCCAGGGGCGCCTGGGTGGCTCAGTCGGTTAAGCGTCCGACTTCGGCTCAGGTCATGATCTCGCGGCCCGTGAGTTCGAGCCCCGCGTCGGGCTCTGTGCCAACAGCTCAGAGCCTGGAGCCCGTTTCCGATTCTGTGTCTCCCTCTCTCTCTGCCCCTCCCCTGTTCGTGCTCTGTCTCTCTCTGTCTCAAAAATAAATAAACATTAAAAAAAAAATTAAAAAAAAAAAAAAGAAACTTTTCTTTCCAGAGTTTATGCCTCTTCAAACTTTCATCTATGGATCCCAGTATCATTCCAATTATTACATTGTTAATTATCCTGTCTCCTTCCCTCCCCTCCACAGAACTGAAAATGTACCAGAAGTACAAGTACAGAAATTCTATTTCTAAGGATTTTGAGCACATCACAGGTGTAACTATTACTATCTTTTTTAAGGGTTTTTAAATGTTTATTCGTTTTTGAGAGAGAGAGAGAGAGAGAGAGAGAGAGAGACAGAGTGTGAGTGGGGGAGGGGCAGGGAGCATAGGAGACACAGAATCCGAAGCAGGCTTCAGGCTCTGAGCTGTCAGCACAGAGCCCGACGCGGGGCTCAAACCCACGAACTGCGAGATCGTGACCTGAGAAGTCGGACGCCCAGCCAACCGAGCCACCCAGGCGCCCCGAAAATATATTATGTTTATAAAATACAAAGTTCCGGGGCGCCTGGGTGACTCAGTTGGTTAAGTGGCTGACTTCACCTCAGGTCGTGATCTATCAGTTCATGATTTCGAGGCCCGCATCAGGCTCTGTGCTAAGAGCTTGGAGCCTGGAGCCTGCTTTGGATTCTGTGTATCTCTCTCTGCCCCTCCCATGCTTGTGCGTACTCTCTCTCTCTCAAAAATAAACATTAAAAATTTTTTCAAATAAAATAAAACACCACGTTGTAAGAGCCACTAAGAGGTATGGGAGGAGGTACGTCCCCTTAGGTAACGAGGTTGAAAGTTTTCTCGGTTAAACGGAAGAGTAGCGACCTGGGATTCTCCTCCTGGCTGGGGCCAGCCAGCTTTGTGACCTTGTATAAATGGTGGTGTTTAGCAAACTTAATGAAATACCCAGATCACCAGGATTATGAGGCTGGCATAGCCTGGTACGCTCAGAAGTGGCCTACATCATGCCGCAATTGTGTTGCCTTTAAGAGAATCGCCTGTGGTTCTTAACTAGTCAGATTGTTCTGCCCTTTAGTAACTGAAGTTTGCAAATCAACTTGAGAGCTCAACACAGGCCTCTCGGGAGATCTCTCACACATAGCAGGAGAGTCAGACCCACCAGTACCTTGCCGTAGAGTTTATGAACGGGAACTCTAACTAGCAACCCTAAATGAAGAGGAGAAACGGTGTAGCCGTTGGAGGAACGTGAGAGAAAGCCCATGAATATTTTTCATGGCATCTGCCGGGAATACGGGGCAAAACAATGCATACGAGGAGAATGGAGCGAGCCAGGGAGAAAACCCCTTTCTTAATGTTTATTTCAGAGAGGGGCTGGTAATTGATGAAACTAATCCAATATCTGGAAACATTCTTTTTTAATCCTCACTTTGCCTTTTATGCAGTTTGAAATTTTGGAGACTCCTCTTTGAAGTAGAGCAGGGTCGGATCTGAAAGGAACAAACCGTTTCCCAGACAGATGTGTGAAGAAATGCCCGGAGCTATGAGCTTCTTGCTGGGGTTAGATGTGAAGGGGCCAGGCTGTTAAATACACAGCAACATGAAATATGAATATTCTTTCACCTCCGTGGGGAATTTCTTTCCGAGGTAAAAAGAAAGGCGGCGGGGGGAGGCAGAACGCTATTCTACTGTTTACCCAATTCCTTTGCCTGGTCTTTGAGCTTCCATTCATTAGTATGGTGTTCCTGTGCTGTGCCACTCCAAGATCCTTTCTGAGGCTCACGTGTGAAAACGGCACTGTTTTAAAATGATATTTCTTGTCCTTTTATTGTCTTCCATTCCTACGCAGCGACAGTGAAAGCCATCTTGACAGTTCTAAAATGTTGTTTTGTTTACATTACAGAGTCTCCATGGCAACTGCATCATCCCAGGTCCTAATTCCTGAAATCAACCTCAATGATACCTTTGACACCTTTGCCTTAGATTTTTCCCGAGAGAAGAAGTTGCTAGAATGTCTGGATTACCTTACAGGTAATGTTTTGCGTGTGCGTGTGTGTGTGTGTGGGGGGGGGGGTAATATTGTGTACATTCGGTGATACACATACTTTGCCCCCCAGATCCGTTCCCTAAAAACCAGAGGGGTGCGCTTCTGATTTAGGAATGGAGTCTAATATTCCCATAAACAATTTCTGGCACTCTTTTTTCTTTTTTTTTTTTTTCACTCAAAACAGCACAGTCTGAGACCAAACTGGGAACAGAGGAAAAAGGAGAATCTCAATAACTGAAAACATACTTACCACCATTTTCCCTCCCTCTCAGAGTGTGGGTACCACAAATAATGGCTCTGTTGGCCATCGCAGGGATACATAAGGGAGCGTGGCTATTTTCCATTTCATCTCAGCAAGGCATCGGACTCTCACGGTGTCTTGCCAGAGAAAAACTTGGCAGCTAACTTCGATTGGGTGTCTACCCTGCTCCGGCTTTTTGTATGTGAGAGCCTGTTTAATCTTCCCAACATCCAACTGAGGTCAAGTGTTGTCAGCCTCATTCTGCAGAGGACGGAGGTCACCCATCTTGCGGGAGGTCAGGTAGCCAAGGACTTGGCAGAGTTAGCATTTGCTTGGGTCTGTACAGACTCCCAAAGACCTCCTGGTCTTTCTCGTAAAAGACCGCATTTCATCTTGGCAAAGGTCACCGTGGCAAACGTCCCAGAAATCACACGCGAATTCCTGGTACCATGTTTCCAACAGGCATTTTTTGGGTCAAACTTAAGAAACAAAAGCAAACAACAATAAAAGAAAACCGTAGCCTCCTCCCATTCCTAACCATGCTTCCAGATTTTTCTTTGCTGTCAACCTCTAGAGCGAGAACTGAAGTCATTCGCTGGGAGGATGTGGACTGTTTAGATGACCTCTATTTGTGTTAGCCAAAGCCACCGGTGCCTATGACTTCAGGAAAGCTCCATGTATACAGTGAAGCCAGATGTGCACCGAACTCAGGACAGGCGGCCCTCGAGAGACCACATCCCTGGCTTAGTTAGCATGGCATCAGCTTCTCGACTCCAGCTCTGTGTGTGTGTGTGTGTTTGGGGGAGAGTGGTTGGAAAAGACGGAGCAGGAGAAAGGAAACATTGTGTATAGTTTGTTTTTACAGTCTGTGGATCAAAAGCAAGGAGTTTTATATCCAAGGGGCGTTATACCCAGACAGGTTTTTTCTTCACAAGAATCCAAGGCGCTGTTTCTAGCCTTTCCGCATTTGCAAGGGAAGCGGCCGTCCCACAGACTTCTTATCTTCTGTAATTCTTTCAAGCCACACCACTCAAAGAAGTTGACTCAAAACTGCATTTGCAGTAAGGAACCAAACTTGGTTTCAAACACTTATGAATATCCTGCCCTCCTCTTGTAAGCTTTTCACTCTGAGATTTATCTAAACTAACTACCCCATAGAACCTTCCACGATGATAAAAACGTTCTGTATCTACACTGTCCGTTATGGTAGCCGCTAGCCACATGGGGCCATCAAAAACTTGAAATGTGTGCGGCGAGTTTTTACTTGTATTTGACTGTAATTAACTGTAATTGAAATTTAAAAAGCCACATGGAGCTCGTGGCTACTGCATTAGACAGTGCTTTCTCTGGCTAAGCTGTTTCCCATAATGGCATCCGATTAAAAAAAAAGCTCTTTTTTTCTTACATCATTTGGGATTGAGTGTGATCTGCAACAACAGAAAATCCACTTAGCAGTGACTAAACCCATCAAGGAGTGTTTGTATCCCGTGAACAGGAGGACAGAGCTGTGTGTCTGTCCCGGGCCTGAGTAGCGGCTCAGTGACGACCTCAGACTCTAGCTCTCTTCTTTTTCTGCTCTGCCGTCGTCACTGTGTTGCCTTTTCGCCACACGATCACAGCACAACTACCCCACCTCCGTGCATGATGCTCAAATTACAGGCAAAAAGAGAGGGACACAGGGGAGACGATGACAAAGATCCGTGAGCCAGCTTTGTCTTGGGTTATTAGGAAAATGAGAAGCTTGCTCAGAAGACCCGTCTAGCAAACTCCCACTTGTGTCTTATGGGCCAGATCCACGTCACAAGGTCACGGCCAAAGACACAGAAGAACGAAACACTGTTTGGCTGGGCACTTGGCCTTTCTGCACAAAATCAGTGTCTCGTTGACCTGAGTGTATCCTCCCCTTCCCCAAGAATTGTTTAATGGTATTTCAGTGGGCACACCTTCATGGGCTAATCTCTAAGCCAATGCCAGAGTAGTGATTAAAGGAGAAAATGTGAAAGCACTTGGCACCGACTAGTACCAAGCACACCGTGTATCATCCCCGATGCCTGTTTATGCCAAACGAAAGATCACATGGGGTACCTGGTCTTATGCCTTCTTAACTGTCAACGTCAAATACAAATTTGGTCCACTTCTATAGCTTTATTTATTTTTTTTTTTAACTTTTTAAATTTATTTTTGGGACAGAGAGAGACAGAGCATGAACGGGGGAGGGGCAGAGAGAGAGGGAGACACAGAATCGGAAACAGGCTCCGGGCTCCGAGCCATCAGCCCAGAGCCCGACGCGGGGCTCGAACTCACGGACCGCGAGATCGTGACCTGGCTGAAGTCGGACGCTTAACCGACTGCGCCACCCAGGCGCCCCTAAATTTGGTCCACTTCTAGACATAACAACGATCCTGGCCATAACGTAGGATGCTTGGCTGATATTGCCAAGTCCAAATAGCCTATCAGACGTTCGTAAGCGGGAAATGAAGTGTTTGCGGAATATGAGCCCGCCACTTCTTGTGTCCTGTTTATGACAGAGGCAGGAAAATAACAACTCTGCTACCCGGTCCATGAATATTGAAATTGGGAGCGTGGTGCTATTTTCATTTACCGTAAATTAGGTATTGACTTTTCAGGACAAACCCATTGGGCTGATAATCAAAACAGGGTTAGCCCGCGTGGCTGTGAAAACAAGATTTTTTTTTTCCCTGTGACATGCCTCTAAGCGGTATGTCAAGTTAATAACCCGGAGAGGTGACATTTCCTCCCCGATTGCAGCAACTGCCGTGTGCCTCCCAGCCACTCGCTTATTTTGAGCATGAGTTTTCTTTATATTTAATCATATATTGCAATGCAGAAAGAACACAACCTTTCTACAGCGGTGGATGGAAAAAATAATTCAGTGAACTGTTTAGATCATGGGAGAATAAGCGTTTCTCCACTGGTCCAGGCGGGGTGATCCCACACGAACACGGACAGTCGGAAGCACGTTTTATGGTGCGGCCGGGCCTCCCCCGCAGAATGCATCTCCGGGTTGGCGTCGCTGATTCATGCCCATCAAAGTCACAGCGCATGACGCTAAGTCTTGCGTGTGGATACTTCAGGAGATAGGTGTGTAAATACATACTCCAGAAAGAATGCTTTAAAGGCTCGACAGAGCCTTTCTGTCTTCATGCACAGCTTAATGCAGCCTCTGCCACGGGTAGGTGCTCATTAATAATGTTTGTAGACTCCAATAACCGAGAGACAAAGCTGGTCTATGTGACTTTGTACAGCGAACATACTTCATACTTGGCCGCCTACCGTATTTGTCCTGAATACACCGTCAGGTGGCAAAAGGAAGAATACGAAAACAATTAGGGTCTTAAATTTGCCATGTTTATAAACTTTTCTCCTTCTTTGGGTTTGTCCAGGCCTCATCAATCCTAATCGCAATTTAAAGCAAGAAAGAGGGACGCCTGGGTGGCGCAGTCGGTTAAGCGTCCGACTTCGGCCAGGTCACGATCTCGCGGTCCGGGAGTCCGAGCCCCGCGTCGGGCTCTGGGCGGATGGCTCGGAGCCCGGAGCCTGTTTCCTATTCTGTGTCTCCCTCTCTCTCTGCCCCTCCCCCATTCATGCTCTGTCTCTCTCTGTCCCAAAAATAAATAAAAACGTTGAAAAAAAATTTAAAAAAAAATAAATAAATAAAAATAAAGCAAGAAAGAACTCTGCAATGATGTAAACTGAGGCTGCTACCAATCCGTAGAATGCTACAATTTTCTCCTTTTTTGAAGTTAGGTTCTAGTATCCAGAAGAGTGGAAATAAAGGCCTGGATCATCTAAGCCAGGGGTTGGCAAACTTTGACTATAAAGGGCCAGATGGTAAATATTTTAGGCTTTGCAGGACATATGGTCCCAACTACTCAACTCTGCTGTTGCACAAAAGCAGCCACAGACAATACGTAAATGAATGAGCCTGGCTGTGTTCCAATAAAACTTTATTTACAAAAATAGGCAGTGGGCCAGATTTGGCCCATAGCCATAGTTTGCCAACCCCTGCTCTAAAAGATTATTGCCGGTGCAAAGCACTCACTGCCTAGTCTTTTTCTTGCTCACAAACTCTTCTCATAAAACCAGGTACTGAAATCAAGCCGGTAGGTTTTAAATCAACTTAAAATAATTATTTTGGTAGGATTTAGACTTCTCTGCTCCAGACTGTGTTCAAGACTTAAAATAGCAGCCTTCTCCAGTGTTTTCTTCGGGGAAGGAAAATGTACTTCTTAGATATGATCGGTTGTTCATCATGTTCTTCTTAATTTGAAATATCACCTATAAATTAAAAACTGAGAAGAAAATAGGGCCACACTAATAAGGGTTTTTTTTATAAGGCATCGAAACATCTAATGAAAGGGGCGCCTGGGTGGCTCAGTCGGTTAAGTGTCCGACTCTTGATTTCGGCTCGGGTCATGATGTCACGGTTCGTCAGTTCGAGCCCCGAGTCAGGCTCCGCACTGACAGTGCGGTCAGCGCGGAGCCTGCTTGGGATTCTCTCTCTCTGCCCTCCCCCCGCTCACACACACGCACTCGCTTGCTCTCTCTGTCTCTCTGTCTCTCTCTCTCTCAAAAATAAATAAATTTAAAAAAAAAACATCTAATGAGAGAAAATTTTCAAACAATTACTTGGTAGGTTTGCTCTGGCATAACGAACATCAGTATGTTTCCAGTTGGTTTCATAAAATAAATACGTGGCCTCACATACCTCGGGGGGTTGGCAAACTTTGGCTCTCAGGCCAAATCTGTTTGAGTCTGAATTGTCTGTGGCTGTTTTTGTAGTGCAGAGGCAGAGGTGAGTAGTTGTGACAGAGACCATATAGCTTGCAAAGCCTAAAACATTTACCATCTGGCCCTTTACTGAAAAAGTTTGCCATCCCCCCGCCCCCGCGCCCGCATACGGATGAAATCCCAAAAGTTCATCTCGTTTCCTTTCTGCCTAACATGTTTTCTTGCATGGACAAGAGTATTAGTTGCTTAGTCTCCTCAACCTGCTTTCACGATAGAGACAAGTCCCTCCTGGAGGGCTGAAGTCACGCTACCTGTTAAAAATCACAGCGATCACCAGCCAACCAAATGTGCTTTGGATTGGGGCCACCGTCTCTAGGATGGTGGTCCTGATGGACCTGTCCAGAAAGGCCTGCTTTGACTGTCACACATCTCCTCTGCAACGTATCCCAGAGGTGCCTGCTTCGTTGCTGATGAGCATTCTTGATCCCCACAGCTCCCAACCCTCCCACAATTAGAGAAGAGCTCTGCACAGCTTCCTATGACACCATCACCGTTCACTGGACGTCCGATGATGAATTCAGTGTGGTCTCCTATGAGCTCCAGTACACCATATTCACCGGACAAGCCAATGTCGTTAGTGAGTATTGCACACCCTATCGGTCTCTCTGTTTGGTGACTGTTTCCGGATAGATTGCGTTTCTAAATTTAAGCATCAGGGGAAGACAAGGGAGGAAAGAATCCACGGTATTTATTGGCTGCCTTTCCTAACCAAGAAGATGATGGCGTTCGCGCGTGCTCTACGAGCAAAACTAGCTGGCCAAATAGCGACGAAAATTAATGATCTCTAGCAAACCACATGGATGAATCTTACAAACATGTGAGAGAAAGAAGCAGGAAACCAAAGCATACACGCAGTACGAGTCCGTTTGTACGTTCATAACTTAAAGATAAAAGGAAACTCTTTTGCTTAGAGATGCATATGAACGTGTAACAACTAGAGATAAAAGCGGGGTGGCTACTTTCTGGGTGGGAGTCACATGGTTTAGTCATTGTATCAGACATTTAGTTTTGTGTACTCTTTCGAGTGTTGTTTCACAATGTAAAAAAAAATAATAATAATGTAATAAAATGGAGAGGCAAGCAATGTTAGTAACTGGCCCCACCTGGGAAGAATTTCAGCCCTTCCTTGAAACACGGAGAGGCCCCTCTGTCCCTGGGGCCCGTGAGATATTTGGCATCAGAGACAATGTGATGATCTCACATCGACGCCCCAGTTGCTGGCCGGAGAGGTGATCACAAAGGAATCTCTCCTCCCCACCCCCGCAGCTATTTCAATTGAGTTGAGTAAATGGAAAAGGACCAGAGGAAGTGGCTTTTCAGGGGAGCAAGTTTGAAGCCTCTTTAGCAAATTAAAATAGAGCATGTCAAAGTAGAATAGAATAGAAGCCACTTTTCAACAAAGAAGTGTTTTGAAAAATTCAGTATCAACTTAATGTGCTTTTATTATGTAAACCTCTTCTCGGCTTCGCCACACTGTTCTTTCCTCGCGCGTGTAATTCTGACACAGTTCTGAGACGTGTGATGCCTAAAAAAGAAATCAGGTGTAGGATTAATTAAAAGAGTGATGGGCGAAGAGCCCTGCTTCTGAGTAACTGAAGGTCACTGGCTCATGCCAACAAACGGACCCCCCAGCTTCCTTAGCGCCTCGTTTCCCAGGCTTCCCTCCTCACCCCTCGGACCCTCCCCTCCCTAATTGGCCTGCCTTGGAAGCTTTATTAAAATCGTACCATTTTCCAAGAATGTGTAAGGGGGAAAACCGTGAAACGTCGAGAACAGCTTTGGCCAGCCGCCCGAGCAGGGGGGAAACAGAGGGCAGAAGCGGCAGGTGCAACAAAAACGTCTTGGGGGAGATGATGGCCTAAGTCTCGGAAGAGAGTGGGTATGTATCACAGAGGTAAGGGGACGCCAGGCAGGCAGCCACCTGATCAGGCGCAAACCTGTAGAGACCTAGAATGGCCAGGCGTTGTCGGAGACACCGCCTACGAAAGCCTGGCTGGAGAGAATTGAGTGAGGAAGGGGAGACGGGGAGACGTGAAGACGGGGAAGTAGAACCAGGACTCAAACCCGAGTAGGTCTGGTTCCGGAAGGCACATGTCCTTAATCATCAGTCTCTAAATCCTAGCCCGCAATAAAGACCCGGCCACAGCGTGTTGGATTTTCCCCTGTGGGCTTGGGCGTCACGCGGAGCCGCACTGCCATCTGATCGGTTGGAAGCCGTGCCGGGCAGTGCTGGGGACGAGGGAGTGGGACAGGGCAACACTAGAAGCAGAGACGTGAACTGGGAGGCCCGTAGTAATTCACGGAGGGACAGCTGGCCCGGACCCGCCAAGGGCACTAGCACCGAAGAAGGCGAGGGCAGGAGAAGATGATTCCAGAAAGACTTCACCTCTCACCCGTATCCCCGGGGAACACCGTTACTATCTTCAGCTATTTGGAGTGCTTTTGGGGGCACATCTGAGAGGCACGGGGGTATCAGGATTTTCGATTCGTCTGGTTTCGCTCCCCAGCCCCAGCCCTACATGCCCCCCTCAAATCATGAAGCAACGCTGATTCCCTAAAATCTTTCTCTTTTTTTATTTTACAAAAATTGTTTTTCACGTTTATTTGTTTTTTGAGAGGCAGAGACAGAGCATGAGCTGGGGAGGGGACAGAGAGAGAGAGAGGGAGCCACAGAATCCGACGCAGGCTCCAGGCTCTGAGCTGTCAGCACAGAGCCCGACGTGGGGCTCGAACTCATGAACCACGAGATCATGACCTGAAGTCAGATGCTTAACCGACTGAGCCACTCAGGCGCCCCTAAAATCTTTCTTTTTAGTGAGCAATGCACGAACACTGTATAATAATGTATAAAATGTATCTAGTGAAAACTGGATGCTTTTCAATACGCCAGCCACCTCAGTTCCAGAGTTACCCACTGTGGGGCCCCTGGGTGGCTCCTTCGATTGAGCATCTGACTCGTAATTTCGGCTCGGGTCATGATCTCGTGGTTCGTGAGTTCGAGCCCCATGTGAGGTCCTGCACTGACAGCGGGAGCCTGCTTGGGATTCTCTCTCTCTCTCCCTCTCTTCCCCTCCCCTGCTCACACGCTCTCCGTCTCTCTCTCTCTCAAAATAAACTTTAAAAAAAGAAAAATATTAAGGAAAAAAAAAACAAAGTTACCCACTACATCAATTCTATTTCACATGCATCTTTCCTAGGGACAGTCTGTTAATAGACGGGCGTGCGTATACATTCACAGTCACAGAGAAATACCTTTTTAGGGGCACACAAGGTAACATGCCATACGCAGCTCCTTACCTTGCTTTTTTCACCCAGAATTTTCTCTTTTGATGAACTCAGGGACAACAGATTAGGGACCTTAAGTACATTTGCAGACTCCCTTTACCTTTGCCATATAATATAACACCAGGAGCGTTAACGATGTTAACGATGGTAAGACTTTTGTCCTTTGCCATATTCTCTTGGTTAAAAGCAGGTCACAGGTGTTGCTCACACTCAAGGAGAAAGAAATGCACAAAATCATGAATAGTAGAGTGAGAACCACGGCGGCTACCCAAGTTATGTCTTTCCTGAGGTGTCTTGAATCAAATGATTATGAGCGTTTGGACAGTACATAGCGCCTTGGCCTGGACTGGCGGGCCTTTGTATCAGTTGGCTTCTGCTGAACAGCCAACAACCGCAGAAGCTAGGTGGCGGGTGACAACCCACACGCATTGCTTGTGTGTCCGGAATCCGGTGGGAGTCCGCTAGAAGGTCCCGCTGACCTTGGTGAGGCTCCGTCATGGTCCGGCTGCTCGGCCGGGGCACCCAGCGCCCTCCCACATTCCCGCTCAGGCGCCTTCTCCTGGCGATCGCAGCGTGCGGGTGGAGGGGCAGGCCCGCTTGCACACATGCTTTGCAAGCCCTTGCCTTTGTCGTGTTAGCCGATGTGCCACAGGCCAAAGCCAGTCCCCTGGGCGAGGCCAGAGTCAGAACGCGAGGGCCTTCAGGGTTCCATCACAAAGGGGACGGGTACGGCCAGGAGCAAGGAAGCGGAGCCAGAAGGCAGCCCGCTCTAGAACCCTAACTCGATACCAGCTCGTCCCTCCATCCCCAGAATGAAAAGAAGAGATCTGTTGCTTGAAACTTAGGGCTTCTCAGGTGGCTAAGCTGTGACTAACTTGGCTTCCATGCTGTCGGCATGAAAAATAATACCCTAACAAGACATATAAATGGAATAGAGGAGCGAAGACCATGCCCATGGAAATCCAGTGGCAACAGCACTCGTGAATCCATAGCTTTATGCTTGGTGATTCCAGGGAAGGTGTTTTGTTCCCCAAGAGCAGTGGCCACAAGAAAATACATGGCAATGACTTCATGAAGATGACAGACCTTGCTTATTTAACGCACAGGTGCCAAAAAGGCCATTCTCCCAGGACGGATGGAAAGCAGGGACACTGTAGGTGCTCATCTAATGGGGGTACACTCATCCGTTTGTTGGTCTCGAGAGTTATTTGTCCCTTGAATGTCCATTGAGCCGGTATAGTGAAGCCCTGAGGCCTCCAGGATCAAGTTGTAACAAGAAAAGAATAAACTTAGATAAATAGGCAATTGAGGGGCCCCCGGGTGGCTCAGCCGCTTGAGCGACCAGCTGTGGCTCAGGTCACGATCTCACTGCTCCTGGGTTCGAGCCCCACGTCAAGCTTTGCTCTGACAGCGTAGAGCCTGCTTCAGATTCTCTGTCTCCCTCTCTCTCTCTGCCCCTCCCCTGCTGGCATTCTCTCTCTCTCTCTCAAAAGTAAACATTAAAAAACATTTTAAAAAGGCAAGTGAGATGCAAAGATCTTCAAATTATTTTCTTCTTAAGTGTTACACGTATTTGTAGTGACTGAGAGAGACCTGGATTTGAATCCCAACTTTGGGCCACACTAGCTCCATAATTTGGGGGCAAATCATCTAACGTCCTCTGAATCTGTTTCCTCATCTGTAAGAAGAGGTAATGTTTTACCTTCACATGGTTGAGATAACAAAAGTGTAGGTCTTAGCCCCGCATTTGCCACAGTGTTGGCACATAAATATTCAAAGTTCTTATTCGTACAAAAATATAGACTACAGTCGCCCGTCATTGCATTTAAAAAAAAAAAAAAAAGCTGATATTTTGGGGGTGCCTGCGTGGCTCAGTGGGTTAAGTGACCTACTCCGGCCCAGGTCACGATCTCACGGTTTGTGAGTTCGAGCCCCGCGTTGGGCTCTGTGCTGACAGCTCAGAGCCTGGAGCCTGCTTCGGATTCTGTGTCTCCCTCTCTGTCTCTTTCTTCCCCTCCCTGCTGGCACCCTGTTTCTCTCTGTCTCTCAGAAACACATAGATGTTAAAAACAAAAACCAAAGAACCTTTCAAAACAATAAAAAGCTAGTATTTTTGGTCATATGGTAAATGTCTGTCATGACATTTGGATTGTCTATGCGATAGCATTTTGCACAATCGTCACGTGAAAGCCCTTCCCTGAATATTGTTTGTCCATCTGTCCTACCATTTGGAGGAATATCCCTTGCAGATGTCACATTGAATGACAAGATCTAATAATAAAACTCTACGGAAAATTCGAAGGCATTATACTCCCAAACTGGTCCTGGCTCCTTGTGCGGCTAGGTCACCGGTGCCTTCACTTGTCAGAATAAATCCGAGTTAATTGCCCACAACTGACTTTGGTGAAGGAGAATTAGATAAGATCTGTGCAGCTTTTAATCTTATAAAAAGGCTCTCCCTAATCAAATTCATATATTCAAATGCAAAATTAATGACGCTATTAATTTTTTATTGCGCATTTTTATTAACAGACTTGCGACTGCAGATGTTAATGAATTGCTTATTAATAAGTAGATACGTATTTAATTTTGCCACGTTTTTCATGTTTTCTTCCAGAACTTCTTCCAGTGCACCATTTGCAATCTTAAGTGGGGCCTTTTCCCAGCAGCCTATGTTTATCACTAGCCAAAGTCATAAGATGCATTTCTCCAAGTGTTCATGGCAAAGCAGTTATCTGTATTTAATTAATTTTAGTCATTTTGAAAACATTCGTGAAAGTTATTAAACAGATAGAGAAGGAGGAAAAGAATGTGCGCTTCTGTCCAATCTGTGAAAAGAAGCAAAGGATGTTAGCAGCCGGTGCACAGCCTCTCAGAAGGGTGTCCGTGTTGCATCATGTTTTATACATAATGTTTTACTGCAAGATGACAGTTGCTATACAAGGCTCTGAAATCCCAAATGTAATTAGGATCTTGTAATGAGCGGCATTATGTAGGGAAATGCTTCTGACCCGTTGTGAATGAGAACAAAATGTATAAAATTGAAAAACTCAATTAAGTTTCATTATGAACTAATTATCTTCCAAGTTCCATTGTTGTTTTAATACTTCAAGCTGAATTAGAGAAGGTGAACGGTGGAATGCCCTCAAAGACGATTGAAAACGAATTTGGAGACGAGGGAAGTTTCTGTCGGGATGGTTGCATGGGTGTCTCATAAAGAGGTGAAGAAAACCCGGTCAACAGTCCCGACGCGGTGGGGTATCGGGGCAGAGAGGTCTGGCACAAGACCGACACTAGCCACGCAATAGCTTTGTACTCTGAGGCACCCACCCCCTTACTCCAGCCCCCAAAAGAAAATGGTCGGTGTCGCTTTCTTGGCATTTTTAATCAACTCCTCAGTTATTGCCCCTGTAATAATAATAACACAGAGGTAAGCCTAAACAGGAACAGTGAGTGTTCACGAAAGCAGATTGTCCCAGTGCAAAGCCATCCAGTCAAATTTTACTACGCCGTAAACATTTCGTTCTTTTAATAGTCAAGGAGAAAAATTAGTGACCTCTTCAAAATAATCAGGATGGTCAGGGTCCCTTTCCTGTTCAGTAAAGCGTTCTGAAACATTTAGTCTTTGTTGGGTTAAGACTTTGGATTATAGGCCAAGTTGCTGTCTGCTTTAAGATGTTGTCGAAAGCGTTCCCCCACCACGTGAGGCCCAGCTTTTCGGTTGTACAGTGATGTAAAGTTTATTGAAACATTTTTACGTTCGCTTTCTTTGACCACAGTACTCATTTTACTGTAACGTAGGCAATTAAACGGGACCAGTGTAAACGCAGTGACATTGATAGGATTCTCATTTGATTCTCCTGAATGCTGTTATTGTTTTCGTTCGTGCTTGACTGCTGTTGACAAAGGTCTAGGCATATGAGCAGATTATCCTAGGCAATAGAAAAGCTCGTTGTTTTTGTTTTATTGCTATTGTGAGATTATTATTAAATGTCTAAAGTGAGTTAGACAGGCTTGGGGCCCAGAGCTCAGAGTTCAAAATGGCCCTTCTTTGGTTGGATCGAAATCTCTCATTTGGCCATGCCGCTATCCAGAAGCATTGAGTTTCTTGCAGCTACATTCAAGGAAAAAGTAACGTGAGAAAGTATCAAAAAAGATACGTAGTAAGGAGAGTCCCATGTTGCTGAACCACTTATGCGTGTTTTCCTGGGTCTAAGAGTGAGGGGGAGATTGGGGGGAGGAGTGGGGTGGATGGTCGTTGGTCGCCATGTCTCCGACACCCACTCAACCCGTTCTGTGAGTTTCCCGTTGTTCCCTTGTTCTTCGCTGGCTTTATCAAGTCTGGCAGTCCTCCTGGCGAAATGTTCGCCGGTGGGGATGAAAAGAGGTGACAGAAAACTCACAGGGTCATGTATATATCTATGACTCACTGAAGTGTGTCTAAAGATACTATGCACCTAAGGTACAAATCATATGAGGTGAATTTTCACCCTTGACAAAATACTTTCAGGGTTCCTTCCAACTGTGAGACTACCAGGAACACTTGAGCTCCAGAGTTGGAGAAAGCATTTAGTAGGATTCAAAGACAGATGTCATGGGGCTGTGAATACCTTGGAATGCTATGCAAATATTTGTGGGTTGGTATGGAAATGCACATGTGACTTTCTTTCTTTAGAAATGTTTTATTAGATTCTCAAAGAGGTGAGACCAAAGAAAGATTAAGGGACTGCTTCTTGGGCTTATGGTAAGGTATAAGTTGCCTCAAGATCAAAAGAACGAACCCTTTGACTTGCAAATCCACTGAAAGGGAAAGAGTGGGGGGAGTTGGGAGCCCCTCAGGAAGTGGAAGGGCCCAGCCCTCTACCAAGAAATGGTGAAGGAAATTCACCAGAGCCAGGAAACTT